AGCAACTGGAAAAGTGGGGTGGCAGAGGATCAATCAGGGCTGTCCCTATCGAATCAGGGCAGCTGGAGGGCATGCTAAACATGAGGAAGAACATCTTTATTGTACTAGCTATTTGATAGTGGAATGGACTAGGGGTGGGTTCCTTTTCCTTGGAGGTCTTTAAGCATGGGCATCTCTCAAGAGTGCTTGGGTTGTGTATTTCTGTATGGCAGGAGGTTGCACTAGAAGGCCCTTGAGTCCCTTCAAATGCTAAAGTCCCCTGTTTCTTCCATTCCATCCACATTCTGCAGGTCAGTAACAGAATGTCAGAGCATAGTTTCTTCTTTCCTCCTCCTAATGTTTCTTGTGATTTTGAGATTATTGGCCCAGGAGGCAGTTCCAGAAGCCATTCCCAGTTTACTGTAAAACACTGAGAGAGCAAATAATGGGGTCCCAGTCTACCTTCTGCCTGCCCTGCATTCATTGGGCTCCTATGTCAGTGAATTCCTGCCAGGTTTTCATCTGGACATCAAAGGAGCTCTCCAAAGTGCTGAAACCAAAGCAACAATAAGCTCAGCCTTTGGGTTAACTCCTTTGAAGTTCACACTAAACCCAATTCGCCACCCCACTTACAAGGGAGCCCTGCCGCCTTGTTGTTGTTGTTGTTGTTGTTGTTGTTGTTGTTGTTGTTGTTGTGTGCCTTCAAAGCATTTACAACTTCTGGCGAAGTGATAGGCTCACCTTAGGGTCACCTGAAGTTGGAAACTGTTGTGAAGGCATCCAACAACAACAAGAAGAAGACCAACAAAGTGAACCTATCTTGGGCTTCTTTTGGCAAGATTTGTTCAGGGGCGGGGGTTGCCTTTGCCCTCCTCTGAGGCTGAGAGTGTGTGACTTGCCTAAGGTCACACAGTGGGTTTCCATGGCCAAGGGGAAATGCAAAACCTGGTCTCCAGACTTAAAATCCAGTGCTTAAACCCCTACTCTGCTCTAGCCTCCAACATGGAAATCCTTAGGACTTTTTCCAAACACTGACATCAAAATGTTAAAGGAGCTCTGAACCAATTCTTGGGCCCTTATAACTGAAAGCAAGCAGTATTTTAATTTTTCTTTACCTTGCGTCTACTTTATTTATTCCTGGGGAGGCAGGGACTTTTTTGGGAGGCAGCTGGGCTTCATTCAAGGAGGTCTATTCTGGAGCAGAATTGGGAAACCTAGCTCCGTACTCTTTCCAACAAATATAAGAAATGGCCAGAAGTCATAGCCCCCTAGAAAATCATCCCCCCCCCATTCCTTCTGCCAAGATTAACCTCCGAGTTTCAACTCCTGGGAGGATTTTGTTCTTGCTTTCAGCTTTTTTGACTTTTGGAGAATTGTTAACTCATTAACTGTAAGCAGAGGGTTGGTGCTGCAAAGCCTCATGCTGATCTCTCTTGTGCTGTTTGTTTGTCTCCTGTGTATAAGTGGAATAGCATTGCCTTATTATTTAAGAAAAGGAATCTCAAAGGGGTTCTTTTCCCAGGATTGGAGCAGGGAGGAAACACATTTTCTCTCCTACCCACTTTGTTACAATCCCAGATAATCATTTCAATGCCAACCTGGCATGCTTTGTGCTCCTGTCGTAATAACCCATGTTGGAAGGTTTGGTTGTGTCAATTTGTTTTCCATCTTTGTTAAGATAACTAGGGTTGCAATGGGTCATTTATTGGGCTTGGCAGGGTTGGTACATTCCTAGATCTCTTGCATCGTAAAAAGACTATGTTTTTATGGTGCAGAAAATACAGTCAAAATGGTGGCTTTGACTACAAGTAGTTGCCAAAATGGTGGCTTCTATAGGAAGGGGTTGAAGAATACACTGTTGAGATTGGGTTTGGACAGGAAGTGTCACTTGTTGTTGTTGTGTGCCTCCAAGGCATTTTTGACTTATGGTGACCTTAAGGTAAAGCTATCATGGGGTTTTCTTGGTAAGATTTGTTCAGCGATGGGGTTGGCTTTGCCTTTCTCTGAGGCTGAGAGAGCATGACTTGCTGAAGGTCACCCAGTGGGTTTCCATGGCTGAGAGGGGATTTGAACCCTGGCCCAAGAACAAGTGTGGCAGGTTCGATTCCCACTTGACCATGAAACCCACTGGGGAAAGTTGTGTCAACCTAGATTATTTCTGCAGTGCGGATGAAGCCTGTAGTCCAGCACTCAAGCCACTACCGCTATCTTTTGCAAGAAAGCCAAGACTACAAGTGGCTTCTTTACTCAGACTGAAATTTTCCAGAAGTTGCTTTCCATGTTAAGAAAAGAATCTGCAAGGCTTCATTATGCACATTTGTTTGCGATGATGTGTCGCTTGTCTCCCAGGAGTTCCTCCGCTTCCCTGTTTGTGTGCTGAAGCCATTTCCTCTCGTCTCTCCTGGGATTTGGGGTTAGAAATCTTCCACAGATCCGAGTCGGAGGACATGGCAGAGGCCCTGTTTGCAAAAGCAGAAGGTCTCTTGCTCATTCCTCTGCTGACCTGACACTTATTGAGGGACTGCGGTAGAATCTCGATTCTCCGTCACCAGCAGAAAAAACACTTCTGAGCTATTTTCCTTGAGACACCTGAGAAAATAGGATTACGTTAGAAGCAGGGAATGAGCAACTGCAGCAGACCTGGGGTGAATTTTCTGTTCCTGGGAGACTCTGGTAGCTTTATAGACTTTATTTAAATTTACAGCTGGCCCTCTGTATCCATGGATTTGAAAGCATTCTTAAAAGATAGAAATTCCAAAAAGCAAATCTTGACCTTGCCATTTTACATAAGGGACACCATTTTACTACACCATTGTATATAATGGGACTTGAGCATCCATGGCGGGTCCTGGATGGATACCAAGGATCCATTGTATTTAATGTATGGATTGCCAAATATGCCAATAAACAAATAAACCCCAAAGGCTGAAATCCTGTATCAGCTACTTATAAGTATACATAAGTATACTTAACTAAGTATACTTAAATAAGTATACATAAGTATACTTAACTAAGTCCAAAATCCACAAAAGAGTGATATCTTTATTGGCCAACCAAATGCACAAAATACATCATGCAAGCTTCCAAAGCTCCACTGGCTTCTTCATTCAGAAAAAAGATGTTTAGAAAAATCAAACAGGAGAGGAAAAGTGAAGATGGTAGAATAACATAGACCCACAATTTTGTTTCAGGTGTTATTTCTTTTATCAGTTGAGATGGTCAGGAGGGATCTAAATGGAGACCAGGGACAAAAGGCACTAAAAGGCTGGCAATAAAATGTGAACCCCATTATCCATGGAAAAAGTATCCAAAAGTTATTAATGGGGGCAATTGCAGTTGTAGAAGCGGGGCTATCATTGTAGATAAGATTATAAAAAAGTTATGCGATCATAAGTCGCAGGTGGGAATTAAGATGCATACAACCAAGCAACGTCAGATGGTGGTCAAGATGGCAAAGGCTATTAATGAAGAAGAACAGACAAGCTAGGAGAGGATGCAGCAGTTTGCTTTTGCCTGAGCCAATGGGAAAGGCAAAGTTCTGCCCCCCCTGTGCTTTTCTGCTGAGTTAATTGGGTACAAACTGCTTTTGCACTTTGAACTCAGTTTGCAGCAATGAAAGTAAGCTGGAGGCAAAGGCGGAAAGTGGGAGGAAGAGAAAGAAACTAGGACATTTTGAAAGCTGCAAAAAATATGGGATGGAAGAGAATTAATCAGTACTGTCTCTGTCAAATTGGGACAGTTGGAAGGCATATTCTTACAGTTGGCCCTCCATATCCATGGATTCTGCATCCACAGATTCAACCATCCACAGCAAACAAAACAAAAACAAAAACCCATCCATCTCCTCCAGATTTCCAAAAAGAAAACCTTGATTTTATCATTTTATACAAGAGACACAATTGTACTACACCACTGTATACAACAGACCATTGGGGTTTGGTTACAGGACACACACACACACACCGTGATTGCCAAAATCCATGGATGCTCAAGTTCCATTAAAAATAATGGCACAATAAGATTGTGTCCTTGCATAACATGGCAAAATCAAGGTTTGATTTTTGGAATTTATAATTTAAAAAAATATTTTCAAACCATGGATGCTTGAATCCATGGATAAAAAAAAACATGGATAGGGAGGGATACCTGTATAAGAGATTTGAACATCCATGGATTCTGATATCCATGGGGGGGGGGTTTCCCTAAAATGAAATGCCAGTGGATATCAAATGAATATTGTATTTTCATTTCTGTAATATGCCTCCCTTTTGACAGACAGATCCTCCGACTCATCCAGATCACTCCACCTCCGTTTTCAACCTATGTTTGGGAAGGTTGTCATCAACCCATTGTAACCAACCTTTCCAGGCTGCAAAACTCATTTGAAAATCGGTCCAGCTGGGAACGTGTTCCTTTCCGTTGCTCCTCTCGACGGTCATCCATCAAGGTCCCGACATTAGCAGGCCTCCTCCGTCTTGAACCTGAATGCTGATTCCTCAGTTGTGTACACAGTTCACAATTTGCTCAGCAGCCAACACTGTAATTACAATCAATTAGGACAGGGCTATAGCTGTGAAGCCAGGCCAATCGCTCTCCAAGAATAGTTATGTCCGTCCGTCCGTCCGGCACAAGGCACATCATGGTTCATCACCACTAGGCAATGTGGGTGACAACATGTGCCATTTCAAACAGCTGGCTTTTGTTTGGTCTGCAGGAAAAGACATCTCATCAATGGTGGGACCCATTTGTTGGGATGTTTTGTCTTGTTTCACTTGTGTATTGGTTTTAATTTGAAATGGTTAACATTGTTTGTGTTTTATTTGGGTGACATCCTGAGAGCTCATGATAAAAGGGCAGGATAAAACTATTGTGTTGTTGTCCTTGTTGTGTGCCTTGAAGTCATTTCTGGCAAACCTATCATGGGGTTTTCTTGGCATGTTTCTTCAGAGGGGGGGTTGCCATTGCCATCCTCTGAGGCTGAGAGAGTGTGACTTGCCCAAGGTCACCCAGTGGGTTTCCATGGCCAAACTGGGATTTGAACCCTGGTTTCCAGAGTCATAGTCCAACACTCAAACCATTATACCACACTGGCTCACAAGATATTTTAGTAACAAATATTTGTTGCACTCATTTAGTAACTAATATTTACTAAATAATATTTAGTAACTAATATTTTAGTAACTAACAAATGACACATCTTCAACCCAAGATAAATGGATTTTCTACAGCTGGTTTTCTTCCTTCTTCTCTGTTGTGCGGATGGATTTCCATCTGATTAATTTGTTCTTTTTTTTTGGCTGCATCCGCACTGCAGAAATAATCTGGTTTGACACTACTTTAACTGTCATGGCTGAATGCTATGGAAACCTGGGAACTGTGATCTCACCAAACTACAATTCCCAGAATTCCATAGCCTTGAGCCGTGGCAGTTAAAGCGGTGTCAAACCGGATTATTTCTGCAGTGCAGATGCAGCCTTTGCTCTGCTCTTTCTCTCACATGGTCCTTTTCCTGAATTTCAGTTTACAAAAGGAGAATTGTTCAAATGAATCCCTGAATTAAAGTGTGCATTTGTTTCATTTCTGTAATGACATCCTGATTTCCTTTTTCCAAGCACAACACAAAAGGTGCATGTAAACTGTAGAAATAATGCTGCTCAGCCTTACAAACCAGACCAAAGCTTTTGGTAATCCCACCTTCCAGGGATGATACTTCTTTGGGTATAATAACATGATTTATTTATTTTTTTTTCCCCAGACAGGGCATTGTTGGAGGCTGAAATGGCACAATCCAGGGAAAGGAAATCAAGGAGAAGACAACTTAATTGCTGCAAAAGAGTCGAAATATCAGATGATAGGTTTCCCTGCTTTAGCCTGGCAAGCTTGGCTGGGATATTAAATCCCTTTTAGGTCTCTATTTCCTATTAACCTCTATTTTAGGAACACACCGAGTTTAATAATCTTAACATTATTTGCGCCTGAGACGCTGACATATCTTATCTTCACTTTCCAAAGAACCCAGCCGTGTGAAATGAGCTTTTATGACACATTAGCGAGGTGCAAGGCATTTTCTTCCCGGCCAAGATTCGCCTAGCATGTCTCTCTGGACAATTTTAAACTGTCTGTCGGCCGCTAGCAATTTGGGTGAGAGCAAATTGGGCGCTTCAGTTTGGATTTGGAGAGAATTTCAGGGGAAATGGCGCACCGGTTTAGGAGGCTGTTGGAATAATGAATCCGGGCCATTGCTAAGAAGGCTGAGAGCTCAAGGAAGGATGCACCAAACGATCAAGGAAGAAGTAACTAGAGCAAAAATTTTATTACTGGTGGTAGATAAAAAATTGCAGGAGGAAGATAAGATCCAACTACAATTTCCAGAATCCCCAAGCCGACACACCCAATGGCCATGTTGTCCTGGGATTTGTAGGATCTTTAGTCTGAATAAGTTGCCTACTCAAGCTCTTTTCCACCCGTTACACAACAGGGCTCTTCACATAATGTACCTTCTGGTTTCAGGAGGGTATAATCCAACAAAATTCTGAAAGCGAAGCCCAGATTCTGGGAACATCTATTATTTCTGAAGGGCCGTTCATCTTTCCTGGTGGGTGGATTACCAATGCAGATTTCCGCCGGGTCGCTTAAGTGCCTGTGGATTAAAAACCAGCCAACTGTGATTCTAATATTTCATTTTTATTTTTATTTTTTCCCAGTCATATTTTTAAATAGGTTTAATAGGGAACCTTTGTTTTCAAGGAGGTAAGCACTTTCTCACCTAAAACTCTGGAAGATTATTATTATTTTTCAAAGAACATATTTGAAATATTGCCCCAGGAATATTTGTAAATATGTAATTAGTTGATGCCTTTTTTACCTTTTGCAAATAACCCACGTCAGTGAAAACTCACTCCATCTGGAAGCTAAATACCAGAAGGCAAAGACAAAGTGAAGGGACTGCTGGCATCAGCATAAACATCTAATCTAAATTTCCTCCCCTCCTATTTTGCTTTTAATTCTTGGGAACGCATGAAAATGTCTTCACTTACTTTTCTACTGCATTAATGCAGAAAAAGAGAGATGCTTCTATTCCCTGCCTTGCAAATCACTATAGGCAAAAGAGGTAATTCATTCTTCTGGTTAGCCAGTTTTACATATATAATTTTGCATGGCCAGAATCTTGTTGGTATCAAACCCATTGATAAGTTCCCTTACAGAAGCCGATGGACATTTTTGACCCATGTAGAACATTTATATTCAGTCCGATGCCACAGAAGTAGAGTTGCGGACACAATCCTATTGTGCCGGGTACTTTATTATGAAATATTGCATGATTCTATGAGTATAAAGTTACATCCCATTTCCTTGTTGTACATTAAATTACCAGGTTAAGAAGAACTATCCCAGGCCCAGAAATCTCAGGGCCCAAACCTGAGACCTGCTGCATCCCTTCCGACTGTCCCAATTTGGCAGAGACCGTCCTGATTAATCCTCTGTCATCCCACTTTTTTAGTTGCACTGAAAATGCCAGTCTTAAAATGCTCACCTTACTTCGAATACTGCAAACCGAGTTCAAAGTGCAAAAATAGCTTGCACTCATTTAAATCAGCAGAGAGAAGATGAGAGGAGGGAGAGGAATCTTGCCCTTCCCTCTGTCTTTAGGGAAAAAAAAGCAAGTTGGATGCGGGCTTTGTCCCAATTTGTGTGTTGTTGTTGTTGTGTTGCTGTTGTTGTTCTGACTTGATAGGTCACCCTATCATGGGTTTTGTTTTGTTTTTTGGCCAGGATTTGTTCAGAGGAGCTTTTCCATTGCCTTCCCCTGAGGCTGAGAGCATATGGCTTGCCCAAGGTTCCTATGGCCAAGCAGGGAATTGAACCCTGGTCTCCAAATTCGTAGTCCAGCACTCAGACCATTATGCCACACTGGCTCAAATCTTTCACCCTGGTGTCAGAAGGTATCCTGGACCCCTTTCACATGACACAAGTACAGTGCCATGAATTATACAATTACAGTGCCATGAAAGATTGGATCCTTCAAGACAGAGATCTTCAAGACTTCTATCAGCTCTATCTGGGGATTTGGAATTCTCTGCTGGAGAGATCTAGTGCCTCTCCAGCTACAAATGCATCCCCTAAAATGCAGCCTAACTCTATAATTCACGGCACTATAATTGCATCATATGAAAGGATCTCAAGTCTACCAAGCGACAAAAATCGATCTATGCACACACTTTTCAAGGCAGTGCCATCACCCTGAGATTCCTCCTCCTTGTCCTGAAGATGGAGAAGACGAGGCAGGTCCTGAGATCTGAGAGATGCCTAATATAAGCTCAGTTTGTCAAGGAGAGGTAACAGGAGTTACATTTTTGTTCAGGACATCCCACATCTTTTCTTCGAGGCCAAAGAGCCCAGGTACACTTCTGATGTCTACCCACTTCTTTTTGGTCTTTTTTGCATGTGCAAAGAAAGGATCCAACTTCATCAAATGAAAAACAAAACAAACCCTTCAACGTTTTAGAAATCCAGGCCTGGCTGTTTGCCGTTGGTTGGCTATCAAAAGGCACTTCTGCATCAAAAGGAAAATCCAGTTCTAAGGGGGAGGAAATCATTAACTTGTCAGTAGGAGATTAAGAGACAAATAGATTAGGAGCGAGTGATGGGTGCCGAAGAGGGAAGGAGGCAAAGCGGCTTTGGGGAACTCATTAAGGGCCAAAGCAAAGGGCTTTAGATGCTCTCCAGCTTGCCACGACTTTAAATAAGCATTCCCAGGCCAGCATGGTCCATCCAACATTGTTTTCCTCCATCTGATTAGATGCATTGAAATAAAGTTGTGGTTTCTGGCCAATGCAAATATTATGCAAGGTGTGCAGGATGGAGTGAGAAATTTGGCGGGCAAGGTGTCTGGAAACGTCAGATAGCAGAAGGGAAGGAAGGGCTATTTGTGAGACACAGTGTCCAGAGTGACTTTTGTCTTCCTTCCTTCCTTCCTTCCTTCCTTCCTTCCTTCCTTCCTTCCTTCCTTCCCTCTTTGGTTATTGTTGTTGTTAACTGCCCTCAAGTAACCTCAACTCATGGCAACCCCATGGATGCAACACTCATGAATCTATCCATCTGGTATGTGGTCTTCCTCTCTTTCGACCTTCCTCTCTTTTTTCATCTTTCTTTTCCCCATTCTCCTCTTCTTCTTCCTCCTCTTATTCATGCGACCTTTTACCTACCCTGGCATCATTGTCTTTTCCAATGATCCATGTCTTCTCATGATATGGCTGAAGTATGAGAGCCTCAATTTGGTCATCCAGGGAGAATTCAGGTATGATCTGGTCCAGGACCCATTTGTTTGTCTTCTTGGCCCTCCATGGGATCCTCAGCACTCTTTTCCAGCACTGTGTCTCAACAAAGTTTATTTTATTTCTGTTGGTTTTCTTCACTGTCCAGTTCTCACAACCGAAGGAAGTGAGTGGGAGTAAAACCATCAAGGGCATTTTTCAGCTTCGTTCTGGCAAGGCTTTTCGTTCATGCTTTAAACTTGAACTTGAAGAGCAATTTGACATAAGCTTAATAGCTTGATAGTTTAATTTTCTCCCCTTTGAACATAAACAGCAACTGAATTAGATGTTTTAGTTTACTGGTGATTAACTAAGTACATTTTCCCTTTCTTCCGCCTGACTTTCTTGTCTCTGGTTGACTTCAGGTACATGGGTCCCATGCTGGGCTCAATCTTCTCCCCAGGCCCTGTCCTAACATTAGATAGACTCACCCTGGCACCTCAGGAAGATCATTCTGGTTGCTATGAAAAAGCACCTGATTTCTAGTTTCTGCATTTATTGTTGCTGCATTCTTCACTGCACTTGTGGGTTTTTCTGACTCGGGTCTCAAAACAGCTTGGCTGGGCTTAAGAAATTTACCTTGATTGCAAAGAAGGGAGGTATTTCTTTCTCTACCTCAGTTTGCAAAATCTCTTGGGCTGAATTTCTCTGTCTCTGATATATCAATTCATGGAGGAGAGAATTCCTCCATCATCATCATCATCATCATCATCATCATCATCATCATCATCAATCATCAATCATCTCAGTTTTCCAGCGTACTAGGTCTTGCTGTTGC